TGATGGCGAAAAAGAGCTGAGTAAATTGTACATATTATCACTATTCTATCGTTGGTTCTGTTTTTTCACAATAACATATTGTATAAGGATTGGACAGTTGGGAACAGGAAAGGGTTTGTTGCCAACCCTTTGTTTCGTGGCCTTCCGTGACTGTTGAGTGGGTAGAATTTGTTTATCCGCGTGAAACGCGAGTGGCCAAACCAGGAAGGTCTCTTCTGCGCGCTCCTCGGGGTGCCATTTTTCCTGGCAGAGAATGCTATTGGATCTATTGGGTGTTTGATCTCCATCACCATTGCATCTATTGTTGGATTTGTTGGTATACCTCTTGTTGGCATAGGAAATAGGAAAGGATAGGAAAGGTCTCTGAAGCCCATGCCAAAATCAGTTGAGCGCTATTTTTTGCAGGCTATGTTAGGCGAAATCGCCTATGATCTGTTGCTTTTGGCTCCAGCGCACATCAGAGTTCGCCAGCAATTCTAGAATCTTGTTTGCTTGAAAACTCATGAAGTTTGCCTTGGCAATGATGCTCACAGCCTGTGCCGCACTGCGGGACTTGAAGGGTGAGGGTGAAATGGTTTCGGCGAAGTCGGAGGCGAAGATGCCCAAAGTCACCGATCCTCCCAGTGGCACCGGGGGCACTTGGCCTTGTGTCGACCAGCCGGAATACAGGGAGATTTTGAATCTCTTCTGTGCAGGTTCAAAGGATTTCAAAGGTGTCTTTTCCTCACGAAACGATTTTTGGATGTTCTGGGACGATTTTAACCCATGGTGTTCTTCCCAATGACTAAATTTGTTTGATAGATGGTTTGCTCAGCGACTGAGGGATGGGCTGTATCCATTGGTGAAGAATTGCCTCTACGGCATTGCAACCAACTCGGCAAGGTGCATGAAAGCTGCCTTCACAGAAGCTCATGGGCCAGAGAAGATTGCTGATGTAAACATTTTCTATGGGCACATCGGAGACGCCGACGTGGGGTATGCAGGGCATGAAGACTGCAAATTAACACTTGGGTGGGAAGTGCAAGATCGCGACGATAAGAAGTGGAAGGCGCTGAACATCGATTTCTTGGTCTACAAGAAGTGAAGAGTTTTGGTTGTTGCTGAGACCAGTTTACTTTGTTTCATCTGCGATGAAAGCGCTGATGGCGAAAAAGAGCTGAGTAAATTGTACATATTATCACTATTCTATCGTTGGT